TAAGCTACTCAAAAGTTAAAAAATAATCCTTTTGGTATTTCTTCAAAAATTTTTAAACAAAGTGTACATATTTAAGTATACATAACATACAAATATAATTATAACTACATTATAACATACAAATGTTCTATATTTTTTTCAAGCAAACTTTGAAACTCATAAGCAAGATCGTATCGGATTGGCAAGTTTAGAAGTTACGGGCGCGACCGTCATTTGAACCCGGGACCTTTAGCACCCAATGCGGGAATCATAATCCGAGACCACAGAGCAGCACATCACTAATTCTTATTCAAATTCTTACATACTAAATTAAAAATCGTCATTTGAATTCGAGCTAAACTTTGCCATAAATTCTTGTCCTATTTCTCTAAATTTAACCCATTTTTTTAGATAATATATAGGAATAACTTTTTCACGGATAATTTCTCATTCCATAAAACAATTGCTATAAAAAATCTCATTCGGTTCATTCATATTTCGTAAATCTTTCTCATTTTCCAAACGAAGGTACAAAAGTAATCCCGCTGGGCTCGGCCGGGATTTGAACAAGGGACCTCTCGCACCCTAAGCGAGAATCATACCCCTAGACCACCAAGCCACATTCACGCAAGGTCTGCATATTTTTAATTTGTCAGTATTATGAAAGATATTATCCTCCAACTATTTTCAAATGTCAAAAAAATAATAACTCAATTTTATTTCTTGAAAATAATTTATACTTATTTGACGCGATACCGAGAAATAATGCATTCATTTTCTCTATTTTCTTCTTGCAAATTTTATAACGCGTGCCAGTTCGTATCGGATTCAAAATGGTATAACCTTCGGACTCGACCGGGATATGAACCCGGGACTGCATTTCCACCCGAAGCGAGAATCATACCCCTAGACCACAGAGCCACATCCACGCAAGGTTTCAAATGTCAAAAAAATAATAACTCAATTTTATTTCTTGAAAATAATTTCCACTTATTTGACGCGATACCGACAAATAACGCATTCATTTTCTCTATTTTCGTTTGCAAATTTTATAACCCGTGCCAGATCGTATCGGATTCAAAATGGTATAACCTTCGGACTCGACCGGGATTTGAACCCGGGACCCCTCGCTCCCAAAGCGAGAATCATACCCCTACACATCAGAGACGCACTTTCTTTTTTCTTATTCAAATCCTGAATTACTAAAATAAAAATCGTCATTTGAGTTCAAGCTATACTTTGCCAAAAATTCTTGTCTTATTTCTCTAAATTTAACCCACTTTTTTAGATAATATATAGGAATGACTTTTTCACGGATAATTTCTCATTCCATAAAACAATTGCTTTCAAAAATCTCATTCATATTTCGTAAATCTTCCTCAATTTCCAAACGAAGGTACAAAAGTAATCCCGCTGGGCTCGGCCGGGATTTGAACCCGGGACCTCTCGCACCCTAAGCGAGAATCATACCCCTAGACCACCGAGCCACATCCACGCAAGGGCTGCATATTTTTAATTTGTCAGTATTATGAAAGATATTATCCTCCATCGTACGTTTTTATGCGCTCTTTTCAAAAGTCAAAAAAATAATAACTCAATTTTATTTCTTGAAAATAATTTCCACTTTTTAGACGCATTACCGTGAAATAATGTAAACATTTTCTCTATTTATTTCATGCAAATTTTATAACGCGTGCTAGATCGTATCGGATTCAAAATGGTATAACCTTCGGACTCGACCGGGATTTGATCCCGGGACATCTCGCACCCAAAGCGAGAATCATACCCCTAGACCAACGAGCCGCACATTATTTTTTCTTATTCAAATCCTGAATTACTAAAATAAAAATCGTCATTTGAGTTCTAGCTATATTTTGAAAAAAATTCTTGTCTTATTTCTCTAAATTTCACCCCCTTTTTTAGATAATATATAGGAATGACTTTTTCACGGATAATTTCTCTTTCCATAATACAATTGCTTTAAAAAATCTCATTTGGTTCACTCATATTTCTTAAATCTTTCTCATTTTACAAACGAAGGATCAAAAGTAACCCCGTTGGGCTCGGCCGGGATTTGAACCCATGACCTCTCGCACAGGAAGCGAGAATCATACCCCTAGACCACCGAGCCACATCCTCGCCAGGGCTGCATATTTTTAATTCGACAGTATTATGAAAGATATTATCCTCCATCGTACGTTTTTATGCTCTCTTTTCAAATGTCAAAAAAATAATAATTCAATTTTATCTCTTGAAAATAATTTCCACTNGATAATTTCTCATTCCATAAAGCAATTGCTTTAAAAATTCTCATTCAGTTCAATCATATTTCTTAATTCTTTCTCATTTTGCAAACGAAGGAACAAAAGTAATCCCGCAGGGCTCGGCCGGGATCTGAACCCGGGACCTCTAGCACCCTAAGCGAGAATCATACCCCTAGACCACCGAGCCGCACACTATTTTTTCTTATTCAACTCCTGAATTACTATAATGAAAATCGTCATTTGAGTTCGAGCTATACTTTGCTAAAAATTCTTGTCTTATTTCTCTAAATTTTACCCACTTTTTTTGATAATACATAGGAAAGACTTTTTCACGGATAATTTCTATCCATAAAACAATTGCTTTAAAAAATCTCATCCGGTTCATTCACATATGGAAAATCTTTCTCATTTTCTAAACGAAGGTACAAAAGTAATCACGCTGGGCTCGGCCGGGATTTGAACCAGGGACCTCTCGCACCCGAAGCGAGAAGCATACCCCTAGACCACCGAGCCACATCCACGCAAGGGCTGCATATTTTTAATTTGTCAGTATTATGAAAGATATTATCCTCCATCGTACGTCTTTATGCGCTCTTTACAAAAAAATAATAACTCAATTTTATTTCTTGAAAATAATTTCCACTTTTTAGACGCATTACCGAGAAATAATGTAAACATTTTCTCTATTTATTTCATGCAAATTTTATAACGCGAGCTAGATCGTATCGGATTCAAAATGGTATAACCATCGGGCTCGACCGTGATTTGAACCAGGGACCTCTCGCACCCGAAGCGAGAATCATACCCCTAGACCACCGAGCCACATCCTCGCTAGGGCTGTATATTTTTAATTTGTCAGTATTATGAAAGATATTATCCTCCATCGTAGGTTTTTATGCACTATTTTGAAATGTCAAAAAAATAATAACTCAATTTTATTTCTCGAAAATATAACTTTCGGACTCGACCGGGAAGTGAACCCGGGACCACTCGCTCCAAAGACAAGAATCATACCCTTACACATTAGAGCCGCTCTTTATTTTTTCTTATTCAAATCCTGAATTACTAATATATAAATCGTCCTATGAGTTCGAGCTATACTTTGCCAAAAATTCTTGTCTTATTTCTCTAAGTTTAACTCACTTTTTTAGATAGTATATAGGAAAGACATTTTCACGGATAATTTCTCATTCCATAAAACAATTGCTTTAAAAAATCTCATTCGGTTCAATCATATTTCGTAAATCTTTCTCATTTTCCAAATGAAGGTACAAAAGTAATTCCGCAGGGGCTTGGCCGGGGTTTGAACCCGGGACCTCTCGCATCCAAAGCGAGAATTATACCCCTAGACCACCGAGCCGCACATTTTTTTTTCTCATTCAAATCCTAAATTACTAAAATAAAAATCGTCACATGAGTTCGACCTATACTTTCATAAAAATTCTTTTCTTATTTCTCTAAATTTCCCGCAGGGCTCGGCCGGGATTTGAACCAGGGACCTCACGCATCCTAACCGAAAATCATACCCCTAGACCAAAGAGCCACATCCACGCAAGGGCTGCATATTCTTAATTTGTCAGTATTATGAAAGATATTATCCTCCATCGTACGTTTTTCTGCTCTCTTTTCAAAAGTCACAAAAATAATAGCTTAATTTTATTTCTTGAATATAATTTCCACTTATTAGACGCGATACCGTGAATTAATGTAAACATTTTCTCTATTTTTTTCTTGCAAATTTTATAACGCGTGCTAGATCGTATCAGATTCAAAATAGTATAACTTTCGGGCTCGACCGGGATTTGAACCGGGGACCTCACGCACCTAAAGCGAGAATCATACCCCTAGACCACCGAGCCGCACATTACTTTTTCTTGATTAAAACCTGAATTACTATAATAAATATCGTCATTTGAGATCGAGCTATACTTTGGCAAAAATTCGTGTCTTATTTCTCTCAATTTCACCCCCTTTGTTACATAATATATAGGAATGACTTTTTCACGGATAATTTCTCATTCCATAAAGCAATTGCTTTAAAAAATCTCATTCAAATCAATCATATTTCTTAAATCTTTCTCATTTTGCAAACGAAGGAACAAAAGTAATCCCGCAGGGCTCGGCCGGGATTTGAACGAGGGACCTCTCGCACCCTAAGCGAGAATCATACCCCTAGACCACCGAGCCACATCCACGCAAGGGCTGCATATTTTTAATTTGTCAGTAGTATGACAGATATTATCCTCCATCGTAGGTTTTCATGCACTATTCTGAAATGTCAAAAAAAAAAACTCCATTTTATTTCTCGAAAATAATTTCTACTTATTAGACGCGATACCGTGAGTTAATGTAAACATTTTCTCTATTTTTTTCTTGCAAATTTTATAACGCGTGCCAGCTCGTTTCGGATTCGAAATAGTATAACTTTCGGGCTCGACCAGGATTTGAACGAGGGACCTCTCGCACCCGAAGCGAGAATCATACCCCTAGACCACCGAGCCTCACTTTATATTTTCTTATTCAAATCCTGAATTACTGTAATAAAAATCGTCATTTGAGTTCGAGCTATACTTTGCCAAAAATTCTCGTCTAATATCTCTAAATTTTACCCACTTTTTTAGAAAATATATAGAAATGACTTTTTCACGGATAATTTCTCAATCCATAAAACAATTGCTTTAAAAAATCTCATTTGGTTCATTCATATTTGGTGAATCTTTCTCATTTTCCAAACAAAGGTACAAAAGTAATCCCGCAGGGCTCGGCCGGGATTTGAACCCGGGACCTCACGCATCCTAAGCGAGAATCATCCCATTAGACCACCGAGCCACATCCACGCAAGGGCTGCATATTTTTAATTTGTCAGTAGTATGACAGATATTATCCTCCATCGTAGGTTTTTATGCACTACTTTGAAATGTCAAAAAAATAATAACTCAATTTTATTTCTCGAAAATAATTTCTACTTATTAGACGCGATACCGTGAAATAATGTATACATTTTCTCTACTTTTTTCTTGCAAATTTTATAACGCATGCTAGATCGTATCGGATTCAAAATGGTATAACCTTCGGACTCGACCAGGATTTGAACCCGGGACCTCTCGCACCCGAAGCGAGAATCATACCCCTAGACCACCAAGCCTCACATTATATTTTCTTATTCAAATCCTGAATTACTGTAATAAAAATCGTCATTTGAATTCGAGCTATACTTTGCCAAAAATTCTCGTCTTATATCTCTAAATTTTACCCACTTTTTTAGAAAATATATAGGAATGACTTTTTCAAGGATAATTTCTCAATCCATAAAACAATTGCTTTAAAAAATCTCATTTGGTTCATTCATATTTGGTAAATCTTTCTCATTTTCCAAACAAAGGTACAAAAGTAAACCCGCAGGGCTCGGCCGGCATTTGAACCCGGGACCTCACTCATCCTAAGCGAGAATCATCCCCCTAGACCACCGAGCCACATCCACGCAAGGGCTGCATATTTTTAATTTGTCAGTATTATGAAAGATATTATCCTCCATCGTACGTTTTTATGCGCTCTTTTCAAAAGTCAAAAAAATAATAACTCAATTTTATTTCTTGAAAATAATTTCCACTTTTTAGACGCATTACCGTGAAATAATGTAAACATTTTCTCTATTTATTTCATGCAAATTTTATAACGCGAGCTAGATCGTATCGGATTCAAAATGGTATAACCTTCGGACTCGACCGGGATTTGATCCCGGGACATCTCGCACCCAAAGCGAGAGTCATACCCCTAGACCAACGAGCCGCATATTATTTGTTCTTATTCAAATCCTGAATTACTAAAATAAAAATCGTCATTTGAGTTCTAGCTATATTTTGAAAAAAATTCTGGTCTTATTTCTCTAAATTTCACCCCCTTTTTTAGATAATATGTAGGAATGACTTTTTCACGGATAATTTCTCATTCCATAAAGCAATTGCTTTAAAAAATCTTTCTCATTTTGCAAACGAAGGAACAAAAGTAATCCCGCAGGGCTCGGCCGTGATTTGATCCCGGGACAACTCGCACCCGAAGCGAGAATCATACTCCTAAACCTCCGAGCCACATCCTCGCTAGGGCTGTATATTTTTAATTTGTCAGTATTATGAAAGATATTATCCTCCATCGTACGTTTTTTTGCTCTCTTTTCAAAAGTCAAAAAAATAATAACTCAATTTTAATTCTTGAAAATAATTTCCACTTATTAGACGCGATACCGTGAATTAATGAAAACATTTTCTCTATTTTTTTCTTGCAAATTTTATAACGCGTGCCAGCTCGTTTCGGATTCGAAATAGTATAACATTCGGACCCGACCGGGATTTGATCCCGGGACATCTCGCACCCAAAGCAAGAATCATACCCCTAGACCAACGAGCCGCACATTATTTTTTCTTATTCAAATCCTGAATTACTAAAATAAAAATCTTCATTTGAGTTCGAGCTATACTTTGCCTAAAATTCTTGTGTTATTTCTCTAAATTTGACTTTTTCACGGATAAATTCTCATACCATAAAACAATTGCTTTAAAAAATCTCATTCGGTTCAGTCATATTTTTTAAATCTTTCTCATTTTCCAATCGAAGGTACAAAAGTATTAACGCTGGGCTCGGACGGGATTTGAACCCGGGACCACTCGCACCCTAAGCGAGAATCATACACCTAGACCTCCGAGCAACATCCACGCAAGGGCTGCATATTTTTAATTTGTCAGTATTATAAAAGATATTATCCTCCTTCGCGCGTTTTTATGCACTATTTTCAAATGTCAAAAAAAATAATATTACTCAATTATATTTCCTGAAAATAATTTCCACTTATTAGACGCAATACCGTGATATAATGTATACATTTTCTCTATTTTTTTCTTACAAATTGTATAATGCATGCTAGATCGCTTCGGATTCTAAATGGTATAACCTTCGCACGCGACCGGGATTTGAACCCGGGACCTCTCGCTCCCAAAGCAAGAATCATACCCCTAGACCATCGAACCGCACGTTATTATTTCTTATTCAAACTCTGAATTACTAAAATAAAAATCGTCATTTGAGTTCGAGCTATACCTTGCCAAAAATTCTTGTCTTATTTCTCTAAATTTCACCCACTTTTTTCGATAATATATAGGAATGACTTTTTCACGGATAATTTCTCAATCCATAAAACAATTGCTTTAAAAAAATATCATTTGGTTCATTCATATTTGGTAAATCTTTCTCATTTTCCAAACAAAGGTACAAAAGTAATCCCGCAGGGCTCGGCCGGGATTAGAACCCGGGACCTCACGCATCCTAAGCGAGAATCNCACTGTTCAGCAGTGGGATACTCGGCAGATCCCTGTTCATTTTGATTTTGGAATCCAAACGATGTAAATCACGGCGAAACTAAGTGAAACTTTTTACTGCGTCATAATTTTGAAAACCACGGCCATGCTGCCAACTGTAGTCCGTGGATCGAGATTCAGACAGAAAGTAAAGGTTTATTAACAAAAAACAGACAAACACATACAAATTTAAAAAGAACGCCATCTGGCGGTATAAAAAGAAAAAAACTTCGTAGCTATCCTTCCCAGGGAATGACAACAGAAACAATTGCTTTAAAAATTCTTATTCGGTTCAATCATATTTCGTAAATCTTTCTAATTTTCCAATCGAGGGTACAAAAGTAATCCCGATGGGCTCGGCGCGCCCTACTTACCCCTAGACCACTGAGCCACTTCCTCGCAAGGGCTGCATATTTTTAATTTGTCAGTATTATGAAAGATAGTATCCTCCATCGTACGTTTTTATGCGCTGTTTTCAAACGTCAAAAAAATAATAACTCAATTTTATTTCTTGAAAATAATTTCCACTTATTACACGCGATATCGTGATATAATGTATATATTTTCTCTATTTTTTTATGCAAATTTATAACGCGTGCTTGATCGTAACGGATTCAAAATGGTATAACCTTCCGGCTCGACGGGGATTTGAACCCGGGACCTCTCGCACCCAACGCGAGAATCATACCCCTGGATCGTATAGCCGCACGTTATTTTTTCTTATTCAAATCCTGCAATACTAAAATAAAAATAATCATTTGAGTTCGAGCTATTCTTTGCCATAAATTCTCGTCTTACTTCTCTAAATTTAGCTCAATTTTTTAGATATTATATAGGAATGACTTTTTCACGGATAATTTTTCATTTCATGAAACAATTGCGTTTAAAAATCTCATTCCATTAATTCATATTTAGTAAATCTTTTTCATTTTCCAAACGAAGGGTGGATATAAATGCTATCAGAGGTTGTAAATCTCATCATTAGTTCTAAATCTCATCACTGGTTTTAAAAAGTACTAACTCACTGAACCTTTTTCACTCTTCCACAGAACCATAGTGTTTTTTGTAACACCACAAGGGAATCGTTACCCTCCCTAAAAAACTGAACCGCTGCTTCACAAAGGTAGCATATTTTTAATCTGTTAGTGGTATAAATGATATTATCCTCTGCAGTTTTTTTTTTCCTTCTTTTTTTACGCTTTATTTTACACTGTCGATAAAATATTGCTCAATTTACTTCTTTGAAAATAATTTACTTTATCAACCACGATACTATGAAACAGCAACAAATTTCTTTTTAATTTCATCTCGCAAGTTTTGTAATGCATGCTAGAATGTATCGTATTTGCAGAATTACAATCTTAGGGCTCGACTGGGATTTAAACCCAGGAGCTCTTGCACCCAAAGCGAAACTCATACCCATAGACCACCAAGCCATAGAACAATTCTTTTTATTCAAATACTGAATTATTAAAATTAAACTCAGAAGTCGATGTCAACAGGGACCGCAGAACCCGGGGGGGGGGTGCAGAGGGAGCTTTAGCATGCTCACATTTTATGAATTAAGAGACACGGTCCCTTCTAATATTACAATTTTTCACAAAACATTTGTGTAACCAAATTTACAATTAAAAAAGAAAATAGATAATCTTATTGTTTCTAAATTTTAAAAAATTAATAAATAAACGTCTCTATTTCGAGTGAGCTTTAACATTTCCTTGGTGAAAACTGCTTCTAACCCCCCCCCCCGTATAGGAAATATAGGTTCCTACAACGGACCGATGGGAAGATTCTTGGTTTTAAATTTAACAGTGAACAGAATATTAAATTTAAGAAGAAAAAAAAAAGAGTGAAACAGAATAGAAAAAAATACCGTTAGATGAGAGAGGAATAATTTACAGGAAACAATTTTTTAATTTTAAAAACAATTCGAATTATGAAGTTAAAATTGCAAATTTGAATTCGTGATTGCTATTTTGTAAAGTTCAGATAATTCGAAACCGGATAATACTAATATCTATCTATCTATCTATATAAATATCTATATATATATATATATATATATATAGATAGATAGATAGATAGATAGTTACCTTGAGATACTTCGACGGTCACTGGATTGCCCAACCTTATAGATTAAATAAAGATTTAGACTTTTTCACGGGTTATGTCACATTGCATAAACTAAAAATAATATCATTAAGAGCATTCATATTAATAAGACAGAACTGCTAAATTACCTGTAAATTTAACGATTATACAAAATAACACACGTAGGGCTCGGCCGGGATTTGAACCCGGGACCTCTCGCACCCTAAGCGAGAATCATACCCCTAGACCACCGAGCCACAAGTTAAGCGCGGCAAAACTTTTTAATATGTTAGAATTATATTAATGCTATTATTCACTGTTGAATCCTTGATGCTCTATTTTACTACGTCAATAAAATATGACTCAAGTTCCTTTTATCCATTTTCATCCGTTCAAATTTTGTAATGAATGCTAGAAGGTAACGGACTTGCAAAATTGAAAACTTAGGGCTCGACCGGGATTTGAACCCGGGACCTCTCGCACCCAAAGCGAGAATCATACCCCTAGACCACCGAGCCTTAATTAAAATTTAAAAATAATGCATTAATATCAGTTAACAGTTATGGGTGTGATTTATATGCGTATTTGTTGTTTAAAATGTGCTAGCTATCAGCCATTATTAAAATTGGAATTCTAATTGTAGTGCTATTTATTCAAAATTTGCTATTTATTAAAAAATTTTGTCTACAACATTTATTTATGGCTTGGGTGATTTCATTTGCCAGCTATTATTTGCTTAAGTGTTGCTGAATTTAATAAAGTATTGCAGCCTAACTTATTTTTAATTTCAAAAAATGTATTAGTTATTTCTAATTTTTCTAAATAATAATTATTTCACGTTGAATTTTTTATTATCTTTGTTTTCTTATGTTTCCTACAATGTATAATTTTCTTTTAATTTGCATATGGGAAACGGAATAATGAAAGTTTAGGATTTAAATTAAATTTATTTTACTTTAAGAGCCATATTTTTCTCCTCATAATAGAAATTTCTTGACAAACTGCCTTGTTTCTGCTTTGATCTCACTTTTTATCTTTTAAAACACTGTTTAGTTCTTTTTATGGATTTGTGGAAATAGTTTTCTTTATGTTTGAAAAAAAAAAATCAAATCTAATTTCATATAAATGGTTTTAATTTTCTTCTAGGAAAGGAATTTGATGTTGATAGTGCTGCTATCTTTCGTCTTCTTTATCAACTAATTCAACTTGTAAAATATATTTCCTTCGTCTTAATTCCAATAATAAGCTCTCATTTTAAAGCCGAGAAATTTAATGAAATTGTCGAAAGATATTCCCTTTTTTTTCATTGAGGGTTTTCATTCATTTAATTTATATGTATTTTAATATTTTTTTTCTTTTTTACAAATAAATGTTTAACGTGCAATCCTCTTTGTTTATTTTTTGCCAGCCTTGTCAGTGGTGTGCAGAGAGAGGGTTGAAGGGAATTCACGAAAAAAAAAAAAAAAAAACTATGGAAAAAAAGAACCCGGAAAAAGAACAACGGAAAGAAAGCCCCTGTTAAAAAAGCACGTTATTAACTATTATAAAAATAATTCTACGAATACGCGCGACCAGATAATTATCAAATTTATTTTAAGATTAAGACGATATAAAGATGTTGAGAAATTTTAAGATGCTTAAAAATGTTGACTATACGTATTCGTATTAATAATTATAAAATATATATTGAAGAAATTGATAAATATATTATTCCAAATATATACATGCGCAGTGGCGTAAGCAAAATTTTTTCAAGGGGGGTGTTCATAATTTTCTGAAACTACTAAAAGAAATTCGAGTCTGTTATAAAGCACTATTATTTCCCTAATTTAGACAGCTAGACAATTTTGACTTTTTATTTAGACAACATTGCTTAGTTAAATTTTGATTTGATTTTTTAAGTTTAAGAACATAATGCAATATCTTCTGAAAACAATCCAATGTCATATGGGTAGGAAGTAACACTTTGAGGGTCACTTTCACATTCATCAGATTTTGTTATGCTAGAAACGTTTTCTTCAACGGTATCACATTTCTGTACAACAGAAAAACTTACATTGTACTCCGTTCCCCGTTTTATATAATTTTTCACCGCATTTCCAAAATTCTCGAATTGTCTCAAAGATGACAGAACGTCTAAGATTCCAGAATCATCGCGTAAAGACCTCGCGAATGACAGCCAGTCTCGAAAACTATCGCGACTGGCAGAACAGAAAGGAACCAGTCCATAACAGTANATATATGGATTGGTACAGAAATATCCGCTATGCTACGATCTCAAAGTTTCGAGCTGTAATGAATAACTTCAAGGAGCACAGTATCTCCAATGGTATTGTTACTGATTTCTTCACTAGTCGAAATAGTGGCGACGACGGGTTCGGCGATTGAATGAACTTTTTGTTGAGATAAATCAAAATAGATTTAGCGACAAGCTCCGAAAGACAAGCGGCAGAGATAACTCTTAGTCTGACTAACTAACTCCACTGTACTCCGTTCCCCCTTTTATATAATTTTTCACTGCATCCCCAAAATTCTCGAACTGTCTCAAAGACGACAGAACGTCTAGGATTCCAGAATCATCGCGTAAAGACCTCGCGAATGACAGCCTGTTTCGAAAACTATACTGGCAGGACAGAAAGGAACCAGTCCGTAACAGTATCACGTGAATTTGGTCTTAAAAGTACAACCCTATTATAGTAAATGTTTTTGGAGTATTCTGAGAAATACCGTGAGGAAAAAAAAAGTAGGCGTAATGTAAATAAAAATATATAGTCTTAAAAAATAATAGCTAGCAAAATTTCAGCTAAAATTTTTATTTTTGCAATTTTGTCTGAGCTCAAAGGGGGTGTTTGAACCCCTAAACCCCTCCCTTGCGTACGCCACTGTACATGCGTATGTATATTATTGAAATTGTATCAATTATTGAAAAAACAAACTAAAAAATAAAATATAATCACATTAAATACAATCACTATCTGATGTATAATCGCATTCTATCAGAAACACGCTTTTATAGAACTCGACATTCGTTGAATAAAATATTTTTTATTCAAATTTCTTTACTAAATTACGAATAAATTTTTAGACGACTACTAAAAAGGAAACATCGTATTTTATAATTAAAAATAAATAAATAAAAGATTAGCAATCAGTTATTAGTGAAAAAAATACGAATGAAATTTTACGCTACGCACTTAAGTCAAGTTTTTCATAAGTAAACCACATTCAAGTATTAATCGCCCCATTTAAATATTTCTTCATTGTTTTATTTTGATTAAAAATTATGCATTTTTAATATTATTTTTAAAAATTAAGAATTTATCAGTTTAACTTAAAAACTAGTTCCTAATTACTTTTTTAAAAAGGTACTTCATCCTTCATTCCTTCACTACAAAGTGCTTCGCAAACGCAGCGATAGTGGAAATGATTTAAATCGAATTTTGGATAATTCAAACTTTTTTACCTTTCTTTTTGAATTCGAATTACTTCGAGTACACTGCATATTGCAATGAAAAATATATTTGATTCTTTTACTTTGAATTTTCTAAATAACTTCCTAAAAACACTATCTAATATGCTTGAAATTAGAGTTTAGTTGTATTTAGTGTATTCCTGATTATGCTTTATTGCATATCACTTTGAAAAACCTTCGAATTACGAATATATCGTAAGAATTACTTCGAGTACACTGTATATTGCAATGAAAAATAGATTTAATTCTTTCACTTTGAATCTTCTAAATAACTTGCAAAAAACACTATCTAATATGCTTGAAATTAGAGTTTAGTTGTATTTAGTGTATTCCTGATTATGCTTTATTGCATACCACTTTGAAAATCTTCGAATTACGAATATATCGTTAGAATTACTTCGAGTACACTGTATATTGCAATGAAAAATAGATTTATATTCTTTCACTTTGAATCTTCTAAATAACTTGCTAAAAACACAATCTAATATGCTTGAAATTAGAGTTTAGTTATACGTAGTGTATTCCAGATTATGCTTCATTGCATACCACTTCGAAATACCTTCGAATTACGAATATATCATTAGAATTACTTCGAGTACACTGTATATTGCAATGAAAAATTTATTTGATTCTTTTACTTTGAATCTTCTAAGTAACTTTCGACTATCTAATATGCTTGAAATTAGAGTTTAGTTGTACTTAGTGTATTCCTGATTATGCTTTATTGCATACCACTTTGAAATACCTTCGAATTACGAATATACCGTCAGAATTACTTCGAGTACACTGTCTATTGTAATGAAAAACAGATTTAATTCTTTTACTTTGAATCTTCGAAGTACAATCTATAATATGCTTAAAATTAGAATTCAGTTGTACTCACTGCGTTTTTGATTATGCTCTATTGTATACCACTTTTGAAACTTAAAATAATTTTGCACTGCGTCATCTGCCATTTTAACGTCAGTTTTTACGATAAATGAAGTGTAACCGACAGAAATCAGGTCGAGTGATTTTGGTGACCAGGCCAGATAGGGACTGTTTCTTATTGTTTATCAGTGATAATGAGCTACATATAAAATAATAAATGTATAAAATCAAACTCAATATTTTAGATTTTATTAACTCGACTAATATTATTATTTTTGTTGTATAAAATAAATAATTCATACCTGATATCATGGATGATACTATAAGTGGAAGAATCAGCATTTTCAACATTCTCATAAGAAGTTCTCCAGGGAAAGCAACAACTGTTACTGTTTCGGTAGTATATGAAAAAAATCTGGCAACGAATCCTAATGCAATACCAACTATGACGGCAAAAACAGTTAACACCAAAAGCAAATTTTTCTTCATCCATTTAGAAACCTTAAGAAGAATTGTATTTAAATTAATGAAGAGTGCCTGGTAGAAATTAAAACATTAACACGATAATTGAGTAAAATATTCTATTCTGACAAATTTAATTCGATCAATTTTTTAGAAGTGTAGATATGCATCAATTGGTCGCCCAAATTTTATTAAATTATAACATTACGTGAGAAGTTGGTATAAAAAAAACTATCGTATGCATAATCGATACATCTATATATAATATACGTTCATCCAATCGGTCGAATAGCTCCTGAGAAATCGAATTTTAAAGAAGCCATATTTTTAAAATTCAATTTCTCAGGAACTATTCGACCGATTTCGTTAAAATTTCTTAGTTTGCCGTTTAAAACTACATTCGTTAAAATAATGCAAAAAATTTTATACCATGCAATTCAAAATTTTTTCGACTCTTATTAAACAAAATAATAAAAAGTAATAAATATTAACTAAAATTTATTTTTTTGCATGGAATTATCTTTAGTTAAATGAATTTCATAATTGTGTGCAAAAAGCTTTCAATTAGCTTAAAAATTTTTTGAGATATGGCGAAATACACTAAAAAGGAAATTAACATTGAAGGGTCCAAACTTTGAACCTCTCCCTGATCAAACTAGGGGGACCATATTTCCCAGATTGCGGCTACCCCCTATATTTTGAGGGACAGAAATCCAAATCCGTTGAAAAAAAGGTATGTTTATCCTGAAAAAGTACGGTTTTGTGTCTGATTTCGCAATTTAAAATATCGTTTGCACTTATTAGTTAGCATATTCGAGGTCACCCCCTCGAACCATTATGAATTATGATTGAGTTCTAGAACGTAAAAATTCGATAATTAAATCAAAGTTATTCAGAGTGGTCCGTCTTTTATTTTGAGCACTATGCATCATTAAAATTTTTAATTTTTATTTTAAATTTATTCTGTACGTGCAGAGGAGGAGCTCTCAAAAAGGTATTTTAAAAAATGGGTTGGTGTGGACAATTCATAAAATTAATTACTTAACCTATTTCAAATCATAAAAAAATAAATAAAATGAAACAGGGCTAATTTTAGTCTACTATTTACTAAAAAAACTTAATACTTTTTTATTTTAATGAATATTAAAGAGCAATAAATCCATTCACCTGAACTTATATTTTAGTTGGTGATCTTCCTTGATTATCTAAAGTGGTAGCTAACGTTGTGCTTCACCATTTAATTTTTGATTTGGTTTACTCGATTTACTAATATACAATAACCACCACTATTTATAAATAATCTAAATAAATATATAGAACCTAATAATCATGCTGTGAAGTGTATTTTGTAATGCAAAAGTGATGTAATCATTCCTTATCTTAATTGTTAATACTCTACTGCTTTAAATACAGTAGGAATCTGTAACTACCAGGATTTTAATAATGTAAATATTAAATAGATTATTAACTAGCTGGATACTCGTTCTTCGTATGAAATTAAAAAAAATCAATAACTCAGTACAGAACAACGCTGCAAAATTATACAAAAACTGTAAGACAAATACCGACACGCTACTAAAGCTAAAATAATTTCAATGTTTTTTTCCTTTATTATTAGTTGCCCCTCTCGGTGACTTTACTTTCTTAGAATAAGCAAAACACGTTCTTAGTCGTTCATACCATTAAAATAAGGACTAACTGTATTAGGCATAATTCGAAATAATGCTGTTTGCTTTAGTCAAATCATGATATTTAAAATTTACTACAATCAAGCTACTTTCTTCTGTATTTATATCGTCGAGAAGCCGTAAAAACCCTTTTCCTCTGTATCTATCGCAAAAATGTTCAGTATTGATGCAGCTGTAATAGGTACCAAATTTAAAATAAATACATTTTCTATATTAACTTTGCTTTTTAATTCATTGCTTATTTTTTCATTGTAATTTATACAAATTACCAAAATTAATTAAGCATCATTGACATTAATAACAGTTTGCTGAATATTTTACGCGCTCTTTGATGAATTAGTACCATTTCTCCATAAATTTTTTTCTTTTTAGCACACATCTTATTATTTTGCTTGAATTAGTAACTATTACCAAAATTAATTATCCTTGGTGTTAATAATAATATTGGAAATTTTTTACATTCATCCTCTACGAATTAGTATCATTTCTCAATTAATTTTGATTTTTTTTAAATTTAAATTACAGTTGATTTTAAATTATTTTTTTTTATAGTAATACGTTTTAAAAGCATAACTATAAAATACTCTCGAGGTTTCAGGTAACCTTAGAGATACTAATTTGGTCTCGTAATCAGCCTATGATCATTCAGATTACCTCTGGCATAACGAATAAAAAATTATTAAGTATTACGGAATACGTAATAATCAACTTTTTTGATCAAAGCTATAAGCTACAGACGTCACTCATGTTATTTTTAAAATATTTGACAAAAACTGAATCGTTTACAGTTTAATTTAATTCAATGGCTTCCACTAAACTAATAAAAAAAATTCAATTTTTTAAATGTTTGTGATTTAAAAATAAATTTAAAAAATAGAAAGTTTGACTTCGTAATTTGTACTCATTTAATTTCATGGGAATGTCGTATTCTTGATTGTAAAGGAAAATTTTAGAGCCTATGGTTTACCCGCAATGCCGTATACAGTAACACAGACACGCACACAAATTTTTTATTTAATTATATGTATACACATTAATAGATGTTAATCGATTTATTTTTCACATTTATTTAGCATAAAAAATTATTGATTTATCAAATCGCATTTGGTTTCTATTTAATAAAGTAATGTTGCAAATTAATATTACACATCAGCTGAGAGATATTTTAATAAAACTGCTTTAAAAAAACAATAAAATTTGGCAGATATTTAATACTTTCATTAAAAACAAAAGTCTTAAAGGGAGTTAAATTATGAGTTATTGAATTTGCCTCTGTACAAAAATGTATCTAATTTAATAAATAAAATGTCGAAAATTATGAATGAATAAAATATTTCATGTTTAATTCATTAACGATTTTTTATGCTTTATTAAAGTAGTCATATTTTAAATTTCTTCTAATTTAGCAAAAAAATACCTTAATAAGTGATGTGTTAATAATTAACACACTTTAATATCCCAGAGAGCTTTACCATCGTGTTGTCTTAGAAGAATCTCATAGTGGAAACGAATAAAAAACTAACTTTAATCATTAAATATATTAATTACAAGAACTATGTATTATATTTTGAATAAGCAATTAGCGTAAAAGACGCCCGGTGGCTGAGCGGTAGCGCTTCGCGCTGTCGTGCCACAGGTCCTTGGTTCGATCCTTGGGCCGGGCAAGGCCGACTCAGCCTTTCATCCCTTCAGTGGGTCGATAAAATGAGTACCAAGCATGCTTGGGAACTAACACTGGGGGTTCCGCGTTCGGCTGACCACCTGACCGGAACATATGCTCCTGCACCCCAGAGCCCAAGGTCAAGAAAACTGAGATGGGCACAGTCGGTCTTGGCCCTCTTAATGGGCTGTCGCGCCACTGAGTTAGTTTAGTTAATTAGCGTAAAAATATTTATTTATTTTTCACAGTGAAAAACCTTTTGTTCTTTTAATTTTCCACTTAATATTTTAGTGTTTTGTCCTGTACCTATGTATTGAAAGTGAAACACAGCTTTGAAAATTGAAAATTACATTTTATTCTTCTTAAAATATTTTGCTCAAACCAAGTAGTATTCACCTAACAATTAAAAATTCTTCAGTACCTTTTGAGTGGATGCCACTTTAGCTCTCTCTTTGTACGCCATTGTTTGCTTGTTAATGTATTTGTTTGTGCAAATTAAAATAATATTATTTACATGATCATGTCAAAATTCAATTGGAAGTATTTTCGCTTATCTCTCTCTTACTTTTATCAAAAAAAGAATTTTATATATTTTAAAAACACACAAAAGACTTCAATTCAAATTTTAAAAAAATAGTACTTTTTGCTTGATTCCAAAAGAAAATATGTATCACAACGATTATAAAATAAAAAAAGCATAAATTCGAAAATCCATTAAAAAAAGAAAAAGAGATAGTTTGCCCTACAGCGAAGACAAAAGAAGCGCAAAAAATCACCTTGCTGAAACTAACAGATGAAAACGCTATTCTCGTCTTAAAATAATTTCCTCCAAAAATAAGCAGATTTTAATTTAACCGAATATATGATATTTCAAAACTGCTCAGGTAATGAAATCAAGTTTGATGAAGATGGTTCTGCACGTGATATTAGTTATCAATCTAATATAAATATCTTTGTTACACGTATAAATTAAAAATTTTTCCAAAAATATTTGATGTCCTCAAATTGCAAAATTGTACATAAACATAGGCAAGCATACAGGAAAATAATCCATCTTTAATGCACACACATGCGCTATAGCCTGTTCTCGTTGTAGTGCAATACCACGTCGATTTATCGTCTTTATTTGTACTTTTTTGATGATACAAATTATACCAAAAAATTGACACAATGCCTCCTCTTTTAGAAGGAAGAGGGAAGAAGGAGGTAATCTTCCTCTTTTAAATTACCTCCTTTTAGAATGTTATTTTCAGATATATTCAAATACAAAAACAATAATATGTCAACGCAACAAATTCGGACAGAAACACATAACTAATATATAAGATGTAGTACATCTATATGAATGTACTGATATCGTAGATATGTGTAACATTTGTTCACTTCTCTGCACTCTCACTTCTTCACTTCTTGATATATGCTTACATGAACGCCGCCTTAGTACTGAAATAAGGTTATTTTAAACTTTGACAAGCAATTCATAATCAATATAAATATTCACTATCACTATAAACTTCAAAATATACCATGGTAGAAATTAGATTTATTTCGAACTTAAATTTTTTCTCCGCAATAAGTAGACAATTTAGATAAAGCCTATTATTGGTTTATGAACAAAATGCAATTCAATTATTAAAAAAAGTTACTATTAAAATGGCGTAATATAAATATTTACGAACAACATAATGTTTTCTATTATTTAAACAGTGAATATTAACTATTATTCAAAACAATAAATTTTATAACTTCCGTTGTAAAACCCTTATTTTATAATTTTAATTGTAATAACACTCAAATTTATTGACATACAACCTCGTAAGAAAGTGTAAAACAGTTTTGTGAATCTGTCAAAATTTTTAGAGAAAATTTGATAAATAACAGAATTATTTTAGCCGTCCGCATGAGCCATCTTTCAACTGTAGCCTATCTTTTTCTCTTTATGAACGCACCTTTAAATAAACGTTAGTAAACACGAATAGAATGTAATTAATAAAATAGCTCTCATAATTACCGCACGTTTACATTTGCTGGAATCATCAGTCACTCTTATAACAGTCGAATTAGGTATCATTGGTGTCCTAACGGTACTTTCAGTTGGTACTATATCCATGGCATTAATTTTCCACAAACTCTAATTTCTTATTCGTTCCCCATTTCTAATCGGAAAAGACCGTTCTGTCTGCTAAAAAAGAAATCAATTCGCTTCAATTATTTTGATTTCATCAAACAATTTTTAAATACAACACAATATGTAAAAAAAGTTGTTTGATAATATATCATTAATTATTTCTGTAGGAAATAAGTTAAAATGATCTTTCAAATTTATTACAACTTACAATCTATTGGTAATCCAAAAAGTGTCTTAAATAACCTCTTATGTAATTTATATATAACTTCTTATGTATTATGTATTTAGCATTTTTATCATTGTGCTGAAGCATAGAAAACATTCTGTAAGATACAAAATAAAAGTGCAGACAGTGTTTCTCTTATTTTATAAATTTGTATTATTTATTTAAAGAGTTGAGACTCAAAATGAAACTCACAAACATTTTTTTAATTTTTTTATTTGTGCGTCGTTAGTTATTTTATTATTTTCTAATTAATTAATGGATATCGTTATAAAACGTGTTTACACTTTCTGTTCAAACTAAAAACTGTTTTGAAAGCTTGCATTAAATGTAAAATCCACCTTGAAATCCTTGAAATTTTATAAATTAAAGAAGATTTGAGAGTACACTATTCATATGCTCTTGCAAGGAAACTATCTTCGTTGTGCAGTGAAATCTGATTTTGCGTCTCTTTTCTGCTTTTTTAAAGTTTAATTTTAAAAGAGGAAACATTTGTGTTTTCACTATCTTTAAAAATTTGAACCTATGAACTATACTTTTTGTTATAAGTTACACTTTTTTCAATGTGTATCATTTGCAAACATAGTAATTCATTTTTATTTATATAATTATCAAATTGTTATTATAATTATTAAATATTGCAATCTTTTTTTTTTTTTTTTTTTTTTTTTTTTTTTTTTTTTTTTTNTTTTTTTTTTTTTTTTGATAAAATGGAATTGAATATGTTCTCATTTGCTATCTTATACTTAACAAGCATTTCTGGAAATAAATTCAAATGGCCAAAATTACCAAGTTTAAGTATATAATGGTGCTTAAAGCAAGAAAAACTAAAAAAACTTATTGAGCAATAGAAATTATTCCTTTATTAGAACCCAATATCTAAGAATATTTGAATTTTGAGGATTGTGATTAACAAAAAAAAAAGCTAAAAGGAGTTTTTTTTTAAAGGAAAAGAAAAAAAATACTTTCTAAATTTTTCAAAAATGTGCAATTTATGCTGTTAAAACGCATTTCGAAATTGAACACCAAGAAAAATGTGTACTTTAGTTATTGTTGTAAAATAACCAAGGTTAATAGCCAATATAATACTATAGTTTTGATTAAAAATTGTTGTCAAATATTTAATCAAAACAATAGATTACGAAATAAAAATAAAAATAAAAACTTACAGCAAAATAGATGGAGGTATCCCAAAATTGGACTGAAATTTTTGTGTAAACACAAAGGAATAATTTTACATTTATTTTCGGCGTTATGTGGGCACTAATCTTTATCAAACACTATTCTTTTAAAGAACCAAGTTTTTGTTAGAAAGGGAGAGTAACTAAATGTTAAAATTCCTATTCAACAAGAATGCGCCACCAATTTTTAGGTCATAGTAAAGATCAGCACGGAATCGCGGCGGCGTGCGAAATTCACCTGCTTAAGAAATTGTTGTGGATCAAACTTCGGCTGCTTGCTGCTTGAGGAAAAGTCCAGCGCTAACTTTTCAAACAATTTCGCTGAAATGTGGGTAAATATATGTTTAAAAATAATTTAAAATGAAAAAACTGAATGAAAGATTTTGACAGCAAAACAAGCTCAAAATCTCTCCCTCTTTCTTTCTTCTTTTTTTTTTTTAAATATTCAAAATTCTCGAACAAAACCTTATTTTACGTTGCTTTTTGCCTATATAGCTATCATTTAATAAGAGCTAATCTAACAAAGCGTGTTCAAAATCAATTCAATTTTTTCTCTGTTAAATAACGTTCATCAGTGTTCAAAACAGAATAAATTTTAGTCATTGTTTATTGCAGCTCCAAATCTGGAAAATATATATATATANTTGTGGAGTTAGTATAACGTCATTTTGCTTATATTTTTTATTGGATCAAAAGAAAAAAGCACAAATTTAGTTGAACTTCGTTATGACAGTCAAAAAGTTCAGAAATGTGTTTTGAAAAATAAAAGATAAAATATGTATTTTTGAATCAATGGTATTTTCAGTTTCTTACAAGGAAGTTTTTAAATTTAATGAATAAATTTAATTAATAAATATATTTATTTTGCAGATTATAAAGTTTGAATTTCTTCCGAAAACTTATAAATCTGTTTCGTTTTTAAATCTACTTTTATTAGAAAACATAAAGAAACTGAACGAAAGTAACAAGATGAAAAAAAAATCTATGTAAGAAATTAAAGAAAAGTTTAATTGCTCAAATGCTAAAAATTTTAGAAACAAATTGGTTCAATAATTTTTTTTCTTAATTTTTCGACAGGGAAAAGTTTTTGCAAAGCCATTTTAACGAATTTTATCGTATTTTTCTGTTATTAAATAAATTTTTGATAAATTTTGTTTAAATTATTATGTTAGGCTTCACTTTTAAATAATTGAGAAATTTCATATGACTACTTTCGTTGAAAATAAAAATATTTTGTACCAGTATTGACATTATTTAGATAATGATTCTTAAATGAAATGTCCTCAATTTATTTATTTATTTTTTATTATTTATTACTTTTTTAAAATAAACTATTTACTAGCTCAAAAATAACAGAGCACTAATTACAAAGATGCTTAAATTTTGTATGGTTATTAATGATATCAACAAATAAAAAAAACTAAATTAAATTAATACAAATATTTGCAACTTCGGAATAACGTAAAAGACAAAATTTACCATTTAAAAAAAATAGACAAATGAATTTCATATCTTCTAAACAATTAGAGATTAAAATATTCAATAGTAATGAAATAAATTTATTATAAAGCTTAAGGTAATGAAATTAGTGGTTTTCATTTCTTATTTCACGATATCGTGAACTGACCTTTTTTTTTTTCTTTTTAAGAGACGTGAGTATTGCGTGGTAATTCATACAACAAAAAACTACAGACAAGGCAGTTAAAGCTTTTAACCAAGATGAAATTCTATAATAAACCCTGTTTCTCAATTTTCGTTTAAAAGGAAATTAAAAAATTAATTCTAGCTGTAAGTAAAACTCATTATAAAATAAAATATTTTTAATTTAGAATGTAAAAAATTAGAGGTTATCATAAGACACTGGAACCATTCGCATTTCTCGGATTTAACTTCGTAGGCATGCATTTGCTCTTCTAAAACTTATAATTTTCTTGACGAAAACAATAATTCGGGAATATTGGATTAAAAAACTTGATTGAAAAGCGGCATAAATTCTAAATTAAAGGGTAGCTCTGTCCTTGGCGCTTAAAAGCTTTAAAGCACCTTTGTCGGTCTTTTCTCCAGTAAATAACAATCATAGGAGAAGGCACATTATTACCATGAATTCGAGCGGGCTTACTGTACTGAGAAACGATAATAATAACAAATTTTTTTATAGTTATTGAGATTGAGTTCGATTTCTTCTATGAAAGTAATATAGATTTAGTTAATGCAAGCTGTTGTTTTTCTCACTTTTCAGGTTTATCTTTTTGAATGTTTGAACAATACCGACAGATAGGTCATCAACATTTGATGTTCATTTTCGAAGGTTATAGATATCAAATTTTAAAGAAACCGTATTTTTGAAATTCTATTTTTTAGGAACTATTCGACTGATTTCATCCAAATTTTGATTTTGCTATGTAGAATTACATCCTTTAAATTGATGGAAAAAATAGTATGCCATACTATTCAAAATTTTTTCGACTATTACTAAGTAAAATTATAAAAAATAATAAATATTTACTAAAAGTTATATTTTTCATGGAATCATCTTTGGATAAATAAATTTTATGGTTGTGAGCAAAAAGTTTTCGACTCTTAAAAAGTTCTCGAGATATGGCAAAATAAGCAAAAAATAAAATTAACTTTAAGGCGTTCAAACTTTGGACCGCTCGCCTGACCAAACAATGGAAACCATATTTCCCAGATTACGGCTGCTCCCTATATTTTGGATGTGAGAAATTAAAATTCGCCAAAAGAAAAGGTATGTTTATTCAGAGAAAGTGCGTTTTCGTGTCTAATTCCCTAACTTATAATATCGCATGTGCTAATTAATTAGCATATTTGAGGTCAAACCTCAAACCATTAATATTGAGTCTTATAACGTGAAAATCCGATCATTGCATCAAAAGTTATTCAAGGTGATCCGTTTCTTATTTTGCGTACTGTACATACATGTATTGGACATACATATAATGTATATAGTTACATTAGATACACATATATTGTACATATGTACACATACATATTGTACATATGTACAGTGGATATACATTTCATATACATATGTAAAGATGCATGTGCAACACATAATATATGTATGGATATCATAGAATGTATCAATTTAGTACATTTATACATTACATGTTCCTATTTATATTTTATATGCATTTTAATATTTTACATACATTTTTAAATTTTATATACATATTTATATGTTGTATGTACCCACATGCTTTCGTACATTCATGTACTGTATGTGCATTTGCACATTGTATATGCATTTACTTTATGTACATAATTTTATTGTATGTCCTATCATACATACATCTGACTATTAGAATTCATACTGCAATCATATAATTTGATTACACGTAATTACGATTACATGTAATTGCGATTATCTGTAATCATTTATTTTGTTTACTTGTAATCGTGATTACATGAAATTTTATATTTTGATTATTTGTAATTATGATAACCTGTTATCATTTCTTGTAGTGGTTAATCCTGACCATATGTAAACAGAGACTATGATTACTTGTTATCGTAATTACCTGCAATCACGATTACAAGTAATTAATTTCCTTCTAGTACTTATCTGTAATCAATTACAGCTTTAATCGATTACTGTAATCGACTTCCTTCTCTACTTAAAATTACAGGGTTTAAATTTATGTAAAATATTTATATAGTTTACAATTCGAAATATTTTTGACAGTTATTAAATAAAATATTAAAAAATAAAAAATAATCATTAAAAATTCTTTTTAGGATAGAACCATCTTTCAAATAAACATCTTATTTTATTTGTGTCTAAAAAGTTTTTGGATTCACAAAAAATGTTCCGAGATATGTAGAAATGCGTATAAAGAGAGAAATTAAAATAAAAGTGTCAAAATGGTCGACCGCCCTCATATATTGTAACATTATTTTGCTTGGAATACTTGCTTTATTAAATTTATTGACCGTAAGAAATAAGGAAGTAAATATTGACTTAATGACTCCTTCACATTACGGTTAAAAGAGTGATTTACTCATAATTTCAAGTCAGAGAAATGATTATAGATGAAAGTCGTACTCATAATGTCTAAGAACTCGCAAAAGCAGTTAAAGGTTAAAGTACTAATCAGAATTACTATTTGATATTTAAACAAAAGAATAGGGTAATCTTCTTAAGTTTAAATTCTTTATCTGTAAACTTAAAGAGTAAAAGACTTTATCTGCCAGAGTAACAAATGGTAGGGGAACCCTTACAAAAATCTTTCTCGTGTCAACCTATGTGACATGTATGTCATAGGTTTTACTCGGGTCGACTTTTTCGTTTAGTATCCATTAACTTTAATTCTTAAAAGAAGAGAAAACCCACAACAATTTCTTCATTATCATTCAGTGGAAAAGGAAGAGGATAGTTGTTTCCATCACAGTAGCTAGCGAAGCGTCACTGATTACCGGATAGATCTTTGGACCCAGGCTAAATAAAAGAAAATCCGCCCCCTCAAGGAAAGCAGAACAAAGCAAAACGCTTTAGTTCTATTCAAAATAACCAGAACTGAAAATTGCACCCAAGCTTTGATTTAACTGTTGTGGGTGGTGATCGATATCGGCATCTGATGGAAGCGTTTAAGAACGCTTAATTCTGTCACGTGCTTCCGGCACACGGCACAGAATGTCCCTTGAGACAATGGCTAGTCAATTGTCCTCACTCATCCTAAACTATCTTGAATGTATTCTCCAAAATCTAATTGTGCTTTTAGAATTGAATAGAATGTACTTTCATTCACGAAAGAGGTTTTTGTACATTTTAAAATTCTTCAAAACGCTCAACAACTTTTCGTAAGAAATAAATTGGAAAATTGGCTCGTCAGATACTCGTGTCAACGTCGTGTCTCTATTTCTGGTAATAGCAGATATCTTAAAAATTTTGCCTGCTTCGAGTTTACGAAATTTTTAATAAAAACAATCAACGTAATTATTAAATTTTTGATCATACTGTGCAAAACTGCTTAAACCAGCGATTTCCAAAAAATGTCCCGTGGAATGCTTACGGAAGTGTGGAGATTTAGGTTGTTTTACTTGTTTTATTTTTTTTAACCAGTATTTATTTTTAAAAACTGTAATTATATTTATATCCAATCAATAATCCATACTTTTATCAATATT